TAAAAAACAATAGAATATATATATATATATATATATATATATATAAACTATTTAAACAAAATTGAAAGATATAGGTGGAACTGTTTATTGGTTGTAACTTTCAGTTTCTTAAAGATATTGCAAATAGTTTCAATCCTACTGTTTTTCTTGTTATCATTTGACTAACAGGTTTTGTAAAATTTACAATCGATTTGCTGTATTGCTCGACAGTCCTTATTCATTTCTTCTATTTTAAAAAAATTTGGGTCATTACTCAGGAATTATCAGTATGACTTGAATAAGGACAAAGGATGATTAGCACGTATACTCTTACAAATGGTAGCATCCTGATTAACTATTAGTTCGAACCACTGTTCTTCTGACATATGATATAGGAATCGCCAATACATTTTTGTAAATAAACGTAGCACACGATAAGTACGAATAAATTTCAATGATGGATGTATAGGAAATGTGGCAGTAAAAAGCAGCCGTGTTTGCCCTCTTTTGTTTCAAATTTGTTTCTAATAGAATATTTCCATGGAGATGATTGTATATACAGTACGTGAACCTCAATTTATAATATGTTTCGTGTTTTGATTTTGTCACAAATAAATTTTATGCAGAAAGCATCATCACTTGTCAGGCTGTATCAGGATCGGTATATTCCTAGGAACTTTGGTTGATTCATTTCCAGTAATTGAACTGGTTGTAGGTTTATCATCATCATCATCTCTGTAATTGCATAACGGTAGTTATAAATACAATTATTTGAAAACTTCCCCATGCTTTCTATTTAATTATTTGCATGATTGTCTACTCAATAAATTATTTGCTTAGCAAATTTCTTGGCTTCACTGTTACTTGTTTACATAATTATAAACCCATATTTGGCAAAACTGCATAATTCAGATTTGTATTGTTATGCTTCGTCTGTAGTGGCGATATTTTAAACGAAAAAATATGAAACAATTTTGAAATTTCACTAGAATCTGTATGCATGGGAAATATAATGAATATTTGCTAATATGAGCTACGTATATAGGCCTTATTTCAGTATGGTAACATTTCCCAGGTTTCGTGGTCCCGATGCTCATGCTAAAGTTTTGGATTTTATTTAAACCTTACATTTCACTGTCGCTGATCAATAAGTCAGTCGGCATTGATTTTATTGGTTCTGCAAATTTTCAAGTAAATTTAACTGAAATAGATCGGAGATATTTCATTTCATCTAGTGATATTTGATTTATTATTATCGATGATTCTTATCTAGTTTATGCATAAATATATAAGAAGTTCTCTGGGTTCTGCTAATATTTATCTAGTTAGAACTTCTGTCAATGCCTTAATTGCTTAATTAGTCAAACTAATGCAAACATTTGGACAGTTAATATTGCAAATTTCAGTTAAAAGAACCATGTAACAATGTCACTAGAATTTTACTGTTGATAGCATATATATTTTACTGTTGATAGCATATATTTTACTGTTGATAGCATATCTTAGCTACACGTGATTACTTACTTGAACTACGTGAACTTTTCGTTGTTTGTGAACTACCTGCCGATGCTGTCTTACTGCTCGTGTCACATTGACTATTGCTTGGTCTGCAAAAAAATATTTTACATTCTTTTTGCATCATATTCTTTCCAGTTTTTGGTAATCTACAAGCTCCTTTGATTAACCTCTGTCAATTTAATTAACTTCTATCTTAATCCATATAATTAATTTAATAAGATTTAACACGATGGAATAATGATGATGGCATTGAGGAATGATGTGGTGACATTGTGGAATGAAATAAGAACCTATAAACTTTAGCTATATGCTTTCCTTCAATTTCTTCATCTTTCATACTGACATATGATTTTGCCGCATGTGATATTTCCTGCCAACCTTTTAATTGCGTACCAGGTTGTAATTTTTCGAACTGTAACTTACTGGAAATATTTCGATATTTTAAATTAAAATATTTTATAAAATATTATAACAAAAAAAGTATGATAATAGTAAAATGATAAATATGATGTTATAAATAAATTAATTATTTAAATATATAAATAAAACATACATCAAGTAACGTATATTTAATATTAATTGCAGCTTTTGTTTGAATATAAAAACGACGAATTATGCAATAAATATACAATGGTAAAATGATGATAGCCATGGAAAGACTTCCAATAAGCCAAATAAAATAAAACGTTGGTCGTTGATATTTTGTTACGGGATCCACGTAAAATACTTTTTAAGGTGTCAAAAAAAATCCGTGCAGTTAATTAATTAACCAATTGATTAGTTAATTGGCCGGGGTTGATTTTTCCCGCCAGAAAAAACGAGAAAAAAAACTTATTTCAAATTTAGAAATGATTTTCTGTTTTCACTAAAAATCTATATATCATAATCAAATTAAATTGCGCATCAAATTATAATTTCAATTTCAAATATAAATTTTAACCAAAATTGAATGTTTAAAACTTTAATAATTAGAATTTCGTTTACCAAAATCCTTCCAAAAATTTCCAATTTCTGCTTTCATAATTGTTGTATATATCTAATATATATACATTTATATATACATATATATGTATATATTGATATGTTTGGTTTCTTTAAATATGTTAAAAATTATTTGAAATATCCAATTAAAAGTAATTAATGCTAATGAGAGTATAACTGCAGGTAAAACTCCTTTCATCATTTTTTAATTTTAATTTAAAATCTTTCTTTTTTGAAATTTTATTTAATTTTGGATGCAAACATTATCACTTACCATGAAATAATGGTTTTGGTTAATAGGTTAAACTTATCAATACATTATAATAAATGATTTCCATTCTCTTTTTTTTCTCTTATTTTTCAAATGATTTCTTGATATGTAATTTACATAATATGCAAATTTGACAATAATTTATGCAACAAATTGTATTTTTGATTGTTTGAAATTTTCCAATCTAATAATTATTGCAGGATGATCATTTTGCATTTAAAACTTGCACTTTCATATTTGCATTCATGCACTTTTGCATGCTATTAATAAATTTGCAAAATAACAAAAAATTCCAATTATTACCTTTTTTTTTCTTTCTTTTCATTTATATTAAGTAGAAAATTGGATTTTTTTATTTTCTTCAAGAAAAAGAATGCAACATATTAAAATGAGGTGATAATGTCAAATGAAAAGTTTTTGAAAAAGATTTTTTGCATAGTTTTTGAGTGCAATTAGATGCGCTATAAAGTTAAGTAAAACTTAAAATTAAATAGCTGTGAATATCAAAAAACTTAAATTTGCTATAAAAGTTAAAAAATTTGAACTTAAATAACCGTGAAAGTTAAAAGTTGAGGAATTTGATTTTGTAATTTTTCGGTATTTGTATTATCAATTATATTACATGTTTACCTATAGGTAAATAACTCTAAAACTTAATTTGTAATCCATGTATATTTGTTTTATCAATTTTATGCAAAAGTTATTCAATTGTCAAAAATATTTGATATATATCTACATAAAATATTTTCACGTTTGATCATTTGATCGTTAAATAATTATATAATTATTGAAAGCCATTAATTTATGCGTTTACAAGTTTGCAAGACCTACAAACCTATGGGTTAATCACCATTAAGTTGATTAACTGCTTTTTCTCTCTCCTTCTCTCTCTCTCTCTCTCTCAGAGTTTTCCTTAACTTTCCATTACGTATAATTGCTATTTATATTTTTAGTTATATAAAAAAGTTATTTAGCTAAAGAGTATTATTTATATATATTTGTGCCAGAAAGTAAACAGTAAATTTTCGATAATTCGATTACTTCGAATTCTCAATTCAATTTCAAATATTTATTTGAAATTTAAATTGAGGATTCGAAATAATATTACTTCGCCAATATTGCTTGAATTGAAATCCGGCTGAAACATTCGGTCAAAATAATAATGAATCATTACATGAAAAATATCAGTTTACATATTTGTACCCGGAAAATTTAATAAATAATAGTTAATGTTTCGATAAATTTTCAAATATCAAACAATTTGAAATGCAAATCATTGGGGATTGAACATGGAACTGCTTCAAAAATTATCAGCAACATGAAAGGGGTGATTATTAGTTCCTAATTATGCATAACAGATTGATTATTAGGGGTGATTATTAGTTCCTAATTATTATTAATTATTAATTATCATTATTTGTTAACTATTAATAGTTTTTAATTATTAATTATTCCACAACCATCATTATTGAAAATTTGCAAATTTAATACAATTCCTAAATTCTATTCCTTATGTTAACGAGTAATTCGATTTTTCCATATTAAACAATTACAATTAAATCCAACAAATTATTGTTCTTTGAACAAAATTTCCTTTAAAAAAGATATTGCTAAGGTATTCAATACAAATTGATTTGATTATTCATATAGCAAAAAGTTGAAATTACAATTTGTGCAATCACATAAAAGATGATAGTTAAGAAAAATTCCCTTCAAAAATACAAATAAATGCATAACAGATTGAATGAAATAATTATTTTCTTCAGGAATTATATTTTAATTTTTAGTTATTCTTGAAATCATTTCAAATAATCACTTAACTTATCATCTTTTATCATTGCCAACTTTGTAGCATTCATTGCCGGTTGCACTAAGCAAAGTTCGTCAAATTGTTATTTTGGGATGAATATTGCTGAAGATTTTTAGTTATTTAAGAATTAGTTGAAAAAAAATTGGAGGAGAGTCGATTTGGTCATTACAGTATCCCAAATGCTCAACTACTCTTTTGATTAATTTGAATCATTATTGCTTCAAATATGTTACACTGATTGCTATTTTCCCAAGTTTCTTTCACATTTCATCTAAATGTTTTGTTTCAGTTTGCTTTTTTTTTTGTATATTATACCTCAAAATGTTAATTAATTAATTAATTAACCTTAAGCTAATTTACCAATTATTCGCACAGATCATATAAACAAATGCAACCTGAAAGTATCGCATTGAACGGTGACAAATTAAGCAATGAAGAAATTTTGGAAATTAATTCCGCGTATTTCTCATTGCGTGTAGCAATTATATTTCTCATCGTGACTGTTATGCTTTTCGTTATCATACAATTTATCAAATTAATCTGCCAAATTATGCGAATTTATGATGAAGCTAACAAGGTTAATCAATTCTAAAAATTCCACTAACGAATTATTATTCATGAATGGTTGAATTCATTCCTTTATATTAAAATGCAGCAAAATTTATTTCGATTTATTTTTCAAAATTTTTCCCGAATGAAATATTTTGGATGATTAATTTGATATGGATAAGCATAAATTTCAAGTATGATTTATTGATTTTATGGATAATCTTTTATCATTTATGTTTACATTTGATGGTTTTATCGTTCCTTGCAAAAATGATATCAATTTGTTTACATTTAGCCTTTCGACAGTAAAACACCCGAAATTACAGTACATTCGAAGAAATCGACAAGGTTTTTAACTCAATTCTTTCATTTCACTTACTGATAAGTGTTTACATTATTGAAATTATTTAATTTCATCAATTTATACATCTCATTTCTAAGTTTTATTTCAGAAATTTTTTTTTCCTGTATTCTTTAATCAAAGACATCTGATAAATGATAAAATTGAAAATAAATTTAAAACTGAATTATTCAAATCTCATTCAAATTAATTAATCATTGTTACAGAAGAAAAAAATCAAAGTATTCACTACCAAGTAAAGAGATGCAAATTCAATTATCGTTGACAAATGATAGAGAAAAAAACATTACACCATCTGATAATCGTGAAATAATTGCCAAAAAGGAGGAAGAAATAAACAACAACAAGAAGAAGAAGAAACTTCCATTAGTATTTCTTTATCAAAATATTTTGATTAAAAGGAATATCATATAAAATACTATGAGAGTTTCCATTGAAACAATCGAAATATCATCATTTCATTTAAGAAATTGAATAATTAAACATCAAGGATTCGCAGAATTCGAATGAGAAGTATCAGAATAAAGGATAAATATTTCACCTTAAATAATTAATACCTCATACATTTACAGCTTCAAAATGAAGTGCGGAATGCACCAGAAATTGTGATGGATGATTCGGATAAACTTACACCACCGGATATCAAAGATTCGCTGGCAATATTTGGTGACAAAATTTTTGATTTTCTCATCATATAACGATCATATATGTAGTACATACGATTGTAAGCAAAAAGATATAATGCGAAAGATATCAAGAAGAGAAATTTGCAATTAATTGAAGAATTGATCAGTTGTAATTCAAATAAATTAATTTGTATTTGTAGGTTCACAAAAGATATCATCACCTATACCAATATCGATCAAAGAGAAGCCAGAAACATTCGTAGAATTAAAAGCTCAAGATTCATTAATGGTTGTCAACAAACAGACATCATTACAACCATCTCGTAGCGCTGAAAAAATAAAATCGGAAATGGGATCGGAAGATAAGGGACATGCTTTTTTGGCAGCAAAAGCTCAAGATTCGTTAATGGTTGTCAACGATCAGAAACCACTACAACCAGCTAATAGCGTTGAACAAACAAACTTAGCAACGACAGTAAAAAAGGAAGAATTAAAAATTGCTCAACAAAAAGAAATTGAACTATAAATGGCAAAATAAATTTCATGTGATTATTATCATTACCATTACTATCACTATCAACCAACATCAATGTTATCAATAATTATTAATCCTTTTAAACTGCTAGGTTTTTACCATTATATCATGTTTCATAGAAGCAATAAAATATTATCTGTCACTCGTTACTGTTTTCATTACAATTAGCAAATGTCGTTTAATTTAATTATCCAAAACGTGCAAAAATATCATTCACTTATAATTTTACGCTTTGAGAAAAGTGCAATGACATTTCATTAATGTCATCAAAATAAGTGTCCAATCCTCAGAAACTTTCCTTCCGATCGCGTTTAAATATGCCTCAGTTAATCATGACGAACTAGAAAAGTACTTTCCGAGTTCCAAAATCATATCTATTAGAACATAGATACTTTGCAACTAACCAATTAACTTCAGTTGTGTGAAGTCTAAATTTCTGCGTCATTCCTTTTTATAGTATTAATTAACATTCCCAATGAAATACAACCAAGAAACGTTGATCATTTGGTGTAAAACTAGGATCATACCTGACTAGTGATGATCCTCGTATATGATGCTATCTAAAAAAAGAATATTCTTCCTATTTATAGTTTTATTGAGAAATAATTTTTCACACGTCTAATTAGGTTCAGAATACCTTGCAAATATCACAAAACTACTTGTATTATGTAAATTTATTTGCAATATTTATGCAGAATATACTAAAGTGAACGAACACGAACAAAAAACGATGGACTTTGGTTTTTACAAGGAACCTATTAAAATCATTGGGTAAAATCCAGGATCTCCACATTCTACCAATAAGCAGTCTGCCAAGATGAAATGCTAAAAAAAAACAATTTTTCAACAATAAAATGCTACCCGCTAGAATATAAATGCCATAAATGAAAAATATTAAGAAATTATGAAAGGAAAATTGTGCAAAAAATAATCAGTAGATACGGATTATTGTTTGCAATAAATGGTCAACAGCGAAATCAGTATCAATTTCGGACTTTAGAGATCAAAAAAAAGTGAAATTTGACCTAGCGCTTTGGATCTGAATTACAAAGTGAATAGCCAGTAACATTGAAGATGGTGGTCTTTGTTCGCTTTAAGGTAGAAAGCTTGAGAAGACCTTATATTTGCACTCCAGTTCAGATCTCCCGAAGTGCTACCAAGAGTCATTATTCAGTTCTTAAAAAATTATCAGTCTCTGCCACCGAAAATGTAATTAACACTCCTAATTTTCTCGCTCCGCAGTACAAACCTACAGAGGCCGCCTATTTATACGTCGAGGGAAACTATTTCCTTCTTCTGCGTTCATTTTCTTTCTTTACTCAAGGAGTAATATACTCGATTACACATCTGTTGTCTTCTATATTTTGGTGGGACGGTTGAAAATTACATTAAATGAAAATAGTATTAAATAAAACCAAAACAGCCTCTAAATGCAATTAAAGTCGAATGAACTGAGCCGATATAGTTACACATCAAATAGAATTGTGCATGACGAATTTCACGAAATACAAAGTGGTACAAAGCTAGCGACTGTTTGTATAAATTACAAATAAATTTCCGAAGGAGAATGATCTGTTTTTTTTTTCTCTATGAAATTAAAAAAAGAAATAAAAGAACCCATCCAAATAATTGATAATACAAATGCATAAAGTAACTGAAGCAAAAAAGCAAAAACTCAGGTTAAATTAGCTTGTAGTAAGATCTGGATCATCGCCAGCATAAGAACCTGCTGTTGATCCAGAATTCGGCCGCAACAAATCAGTACTATCACCTCCAAAACTTCGAGCACCACGTCCAATACTGTCTGTTTCACCTATAATAACAAAGCTATCAAGTAAGATCAGAAAGATAAACGTTAAAAAAACTACAAAATCATTTTATTTGATTTATTATCTGACTGGATCATCTACAGTTCAGAGAACTTTCCGTTATCAACCAACATACTTTCTACCTGAACCTTTCAAGGTACAATCCATATCTCAATAATTCAATCTGCGAAGAAAGTACATTTCGATTTCAGAACAAGATAAGCAGATTAAGTTTTCTGACTTTATTGGGCTGCTTTTCCGTCACAAATTCCAATAAAGCAAAATGTACGCTTACTTCCAAAACGTGAAGTACTTGCTCGGTTGAGTCCAGAACGTCGTGCAAGTGCTGCTAAGCTTTTTAGCTGTGCATTTTCTCGAGTTAGTGTTTCATTGGCTTCATTCAGATCATCAATACTTCTTTGGAGTTGTCGACATTTCGATCGTTCACGACATGCTTCCTCTTCTAGATCTTCGATTTGTCGACGCATCTGACGATGTCGTGTCATTGCGCGATCTGCCTAAAAAAATCATTTGCTTTTATAGTTTGATAAAAAAGTTCAAATTTCTAAAAAGAAGGTCAAACATTGCAAATTTATAACAGATTAAATATACTGAAATTTCTTTGTAAATAGACTATACTCACGGTATCCTTCAACTGTTCTATACTTCGCTTCTCTTCTTCGTTCATCATCAGTGTATCACTCAATTTCTTTTCCATGCGTCGAATCTGCAAATGCCTACTACTTTAAAAAACTGCAACAAATTCGGTGTTAGATTACCCATGAAATTACTTTGAGGAACTTCTAATCACGTTCAACAGGCAAGAGCTTCATTCGAAACTTAATCATCTGTTTATAAGTAGGTAATAGATATTAATTTTGACGTACTACTCTTAAGTAATCTATCTTTATGTCAAATTTCAGTGTAAAAAATAATGATGGTTGAAACTATAAATTAATAAAAAAATAATGCTATCCAATTCATGAATATCACGATGAGAGGGGTTGCAACAGCTAGATAAATACCGAGACACGAACAATTCCTGATAAGCTTAAAAAAATTGGAAAAAACCTGTCGAATAGCCGTATTTCGTTCCTGTTCCATTTGAGCATACTGTTCATTCGCTGCTTGAAGCTTCGCTTCCAGCGCAGCCAACTGTCCTCGGTTACGAGTTCTCATGTCGTTTTCCATTTCCTCTAACTGAAATATAAGTTCGATGAAATAGTTCTAATTTTTGATAACTATATTTGGCAAAGGCAATAAATAAAAAACTTACTGTCACTTTTAGATCTTTACACTGTTTTTCAAAGTACTGCTTATCTGCTTCTAATTTTTCGCATAACGAACGTTCAGCTGCCAATTCTGTTGTCAGTGTTTCCAGCTGCAAACTTTTCGCTCAAACTTAAACTACAAGTAAGCGGTGCAATATCAACCAACAATATTACTTAATAAAAGACAACAGAACTAGAGATAATAAAGAAATAGATATTCCTTCACTGCCCTCCGGGAATACGTATTTCTTTATTATTGAAACTATATATTTGATAAAATATACCAAAAAAATCTGTTATACTCGTACTGAAAAAGGAACGGCATTGAACTCCTCAATCACGGCCAACATAAAATAATTACCTGAATTTGAGCTTTTTTGAGCTTGTCATTGCTCAATTCGCTGTTGTTCTGCTCTTCTTCAAGCAGTTCTTCCAGTTCATGAATTTTCGTTTCCAATCTCTTTTTATCTTCAGTACTCATCAAACTACTTTTAACACCAAGCTCTTCCACAGCATCATCCCTCTCTCTCTCTGCACGCCGCCTATCAGCAGTTAATTGCATATTTGTTTCTGTTGCTCTCGCCAATTCATCTACCAACGACTTCAATCTTCAAAAAAAAGTCAATAATTCTAACTTTTCCAACTCATGGAATTAAAAGAGAGGAAAGAAAGAAATGCTTGAAACTACCGATAAAAAAGTTTCGGCTTAAACATAAATGCAAATAATTCAAAAATTAAGATTCAGTTAATTTTTATCACCTGTGAGTCTATAAATAAATATTTTTTCTTACTTTTTCTCCATATCTTGTGTCCGTAACATTGCTGCATTCTTGGCGTCTTTCGATTCTTCTACTTCTAATTGCAAATCTTTCAATTGCAAACTGTATTTCCGAAGCTGTCGTGAAAATTCTTCTTTTTGGGTAGTAATAGCTTCCACTTGTTCTAATGACTGGTGCAAATCTGCTTCCAACTTGCGCTTTTGTTGCATCAGAGTTAGTCTAGTGTGACGCTCCGATTCTAGTTCACTTTCCAGGTCACCAAGCTGCATGAAATTTTCAGAAATCCAAACTGAGTAACAAAGATCGTTTGAATTACTGAATTTGTACATAATTTCTAATCTTTGAAAATAACACGTCACTACAAATCTTCAATTACCTTTCTAATTTTCTAATTTCTCTATTTTAAATTCAATCTCAAATACCTTTTGCAGCATTACTTTACGCCGTTCGTCATCATCCCGCTCCTTGTCATTGCGAGTTCTTTCCAATTCGATATTTACCGCCTGTAAGGTCACATCTAATCGTAGTTTTGCATCTTCGGTAAGCTGCAAGTTATCTTCCAGTTCTGTGATCGTCTCTTTCGCGTTTGCCAATTCGATCTCTAGTTGCCGCTTCATTCGATCAAGCTCCAAAATATTGCGGCCAGTATCGTCTTTCATGGTAACCTGGAATATATACATAGTACAAGCAGTCGAATGCAGCTGCTTGCCAAAAATATAAATAAACATTATATACTGGCGAGCCGTTAACAAACATGAATGAACAAGATCACATATTCATAAACTGAAGCTCCGATACATAGCTGAAAAATTTTTTGCACCACTCGACGTTCACAAGGAAAAAGAACGAAAATTTACAGCATTATCAAGGTCCATTTGCAGCGCATTTCTAATGTTTTCCAGTTCAGTAATTCGACTTTTGAGAATATCAATTTCCTTTGCTGTCACTAGCGCACTCGATTTATGATCACGAAGCTTCAAGCATACAAATTTCAAACCTTTTTAAAGACAAAAAATTATAATCTAAAAATGTACATCAAAAGATGTTTAATCTAGCTTGAAAAGTCCCTTAATACTTGTTTTCAAAAATGCAACTGAAACCTTTTCTAAGCTTGATTCACCATTGTTACTTACATATTTGAATCGAAGTGTCCCTCAGTCTTTGTAACTGGGGACGGAATTCAAACTTTCTTATAGGTTGTTGCTCTCAGTTACATCACACTACTGGATAAACATTTAAATAGGACGATTTATTGCGGTCGCTGACTCACCTCGACAGTAATTCTCTGGAAATCATTAAATCCTTAGAAGAATTTTGAATAATACCTCTTGTGCCAGCTTATCTCGTTCCATACTAACTTTTGCCACATGTGACTTTTCTTCTTCAAGCATTTGGTCAAATTTCCGTTGTTTCTTTTCCATATCACGCACACTGCACCGCAATTTATCCAACTCGTTTAGCATATCCTCCTTCTAGAATAAGAAAAATTGCAAGTCTAAGCAAAAATTCATAAATAGAACCTACAGTTTCATAAATCAAGCATCAAGAAAAAATGAGTTCACATTTTTTCCTTCCGACTTAAGGTTTTACCAAATAATATACAAAAAAGGAAAAACACTTTAGTTCAAGAAGGATACTGAAACAGTTAACTAACTACCACTGGAAACAGGGAGTTCAAGAGAAAATGACTAAAACATCCGGAACACATTGACTGGCATTCCAGGAAAAGCAAACTAAAAAAAAGAAATTGCGATTTTTCTTTTACAGCCTCTTACACAGGCTGTTTGAAAATGTTATAGTACACAATCCAAGGAAAGCATTAAATTTATTTCCCCACTTATAGAGAAAGGCTTGGTGAATGGTCACTAACCCGTGTAAGTTTCATCAGTAACTGTCTAAAGTTCCTTAAGTTGAAGAAAGCTGAAAATCTTGGAGTTTTTGAAGCAAGTAATATATTTCCCTCCCAATCACACTTATGATATTTTTCATTAATTTGAAAACAAAATAGACACAATGATAAAAAGATAAATCTAACTAAATAAATCTGGTGTTAAAGTATTCAAGAATCTTTCAATTCATTAGGTATACCAACAGGATCCATGAATGAGATCAGCTTACCTCCTGCACTAATTTTTCTTTTGCCTTCTCACTCCGAGCACGAGCATACTCACTTTGTTCTAATTCCTTTTTACAAGCTTCCATCTCTTTCGTCAGTTTTTTACGCAACTCTTCTGCTTGCAGAAGTAGGTTTTCATCATTCTTCTTTATCACATCAGTCAACTGTTGCTTCAGAGAACTTATCTCCTGCAAATTTCTTCGCTGTGTACTACTTATCCATTAACAAGAGGACGAAGACAGGAGTAGTGGCAAAGAAGTTTAACTATTTTGTAAGTAATTAAAAGCCTCGGAATTTCTGAAACTTCCAGTGTTCTGCTTCTTTTATTTATAAATCCGAACATTTAATGACTAAATCCGAACATTTACTGACTTTATCGTACAATTGTGAATTACAGTCCCAATAAAATTCTCAAATAAACCATACCGAACCTTTTCACATTTCTGAATGGCAAATTCATTACGTTCTTTGTTTTCCTGCAAACTTTCTAATTCATCATCTTGAATCTGCAGCTTCGCACGAAGCGCTTCATTTTGAGACTTTTCCACATTGATCGCATCGCTTAAATCAGTGGCCTGAAAAAAAGTGGGCATTTTCCATTTTTTTTTTATCATGCAAAACTAACGGCATCCAATTACATCGATGTATCTGACTCGAAAGATTTCAATTAAAAGGATAGGAAGGAGTTTGCCACAACATAATGTGTAGAAAATGTCATTCAGATTCTTTGTGATAACGTTGAACTAAGACAGCAATTTTGACATAGACAACTGACCTGAACTTCTGCAGTTGCCACTCTATTATGCAAAACCAAAACAACATTTTCACTGCTTTCCAGTTCCTTAGTAAGTCTTTCAACCTCTGACTGTACCTGAATTTAAAAAAGAAGTTCCTCACAGAAACCAAATCAATACATAAAAAACAGAAAAATAAGGAAAATCAATAAATTTACGTATAACAAATAATCCTCTTGAGGAAATACATATACCATTGCATAAAGAATACGATTGTACTATCAACCGATAATTTACAACACTAATGGCCATAAATGATGCACCCACCTTTATCAAAGCAGATTTTAACTCCATAGCATTTTTTTCAGCTTCCTCAGCTTTCGTTTGCCATTCGTTCAATAAATTCTCAACGTTCTTCCTTTTTCGCTCATTTTCCAAAAACGCGGACTGATTCCGCTGAATCACGACGATTTTCTCTTGCAATTCATTTTCCATACGACTCTTTGTTTTAACTACCTAAAACATACAATAATGGAAAATATTTTGCATATTCTCTAAAGTGGCATTTCTTAATATCACTGAAGGATTTACGAAGCAACCTTTTTTTCTTTTTTTTTTACGAAGCAAAGGATTTTACTGAAGGATTTACGAAGCAATTAGAATGAACATAATTTAGTCAGAAGCCTTTCGGGAAAAATGCCATGCTACTGATCATAATATATTTGTAGAAGGAACCTGCTCCATTTGTTTTTTTAACTGCTCGTTCTCGATTCTAACAGAATTCAACTGCTGTGAATGCTTAGCCTTCAACTCTGCAACATTTCGTTCGTGTTGTGCTGCTGTTTCTTCAAGCTCTTTCTAGAAATTTTGAAAATGAATTACTACAGCAGATTACTAGCGTCCATCAAGTTTCATAACCGATCTAGCTATCAATGCTTAAATTTCGTAAATTCTTCCCGCTTAAAATTAAAATTTTAAACCAGATGAATGAACGCACTTTAATCGATAAATACTGCTTCTCACGTTCAGTTCGCAATTCCATGTTAGCTTGTGTTTTATCTTGTGATTCCAACAACTCTTGCTTCAGTGCCTCTAACTCCTCCATACAATCTCGTTTTCCTTTTTCTGACTTTGTTCTGCAAAAAGCAGTAATGAAAAATTTAAAAGCGCTGCATATTTTCCGAGTTCATAAAGAAAGAAATCCCTAACGATTCGAATAAGTCAACCAGCACTAAACAAGTATTTTCTTATTTTTTTAACAAATTTCAAACATTGAATTTACTTCTTACCTCAAATTTTTTTCGTTTTCCAAGTCTTCTTTAACTTCTTGCAATTCTAATATTAATTCTTTCGTCTGTTTCATCAAATTTTGTTTTTGAGACTGTTCTTCATCGCTACTAAATAGTAACAAACATAGCAAATCCAATCATTAAATAAAATCTAAATGACTTGACAAAACCAGAAATTTTAGACTGAAACTAACAAAAAAGAAAGTCAAATAGATAATAAATCAAGTATTATAGCAATGCAGAAAAGGGAAATGACAGATAAACCATTCTAAAACATCGAGTTATTGATAATAAAATTTGAAGAGTTTGATTAAATATACAAATAAATATGGAATACTGTGTAAGAGTAGCAATGAGTTCTTCATCCTTCTTTTGAAGTTGAGCACTTAGTTCGTTTAGCTTTTCTAATAGTTCCTCATTCTCATCCTGAACGTCTCGCATTTCTGTGGTAAGTTTTTGGTTTGCAGCTTCTGTCATTTCGATGTGCTGAATTATTAAAAATTATGTAAAAAGAGACAAATTAAGTTCTATAAAAATAAAACATCTACCCAGGCAAGTTCAAAACCAGTATTTGAAAAAATGTAATCAATATTCTTGCCAAAAATATTAATTGTATTTATTATTAGAAATATTATTGTCAGAATCTTTTCATTCTCTTCTGTGAGATTACGAGCATAAAAGACCATTTAAATTGGTAAAGATACGTTCGTTTAAGTAAGAAACAGGACCATTAGGTCTCGTTAGGATGCAAGAAAATTCCATCTGTTTTTGGTTTTTCTAGCTATTGCATCTGTTGTTATCGCTTTGCTAACCTTCCTCATCTTTTCATTCTCTTCTTTGTAATCTGTTATTTTTGTTTCCAATTTCGCCCTTAATTTGACATTCTGCCGATTTCGTTCTTCTTCGACAACAATTTTTTGAGTAGCAGTTGTAAGTCTTCCCTCAAGCAATGTCTTTTCCTTCATCAGCTGAAAAAAAAAAAAAAAAAGAGTGAATAGGTGGGATCCGGAAGCTCTTATCTTTCAAATGAGAAATTATGCCAACCTTTTTCATTTGTTTCAAAAAACCGATCCCTCTCTATGATAACAGTTTTCAACTTTTGATCAACAGAGGCATTAGACAATTGTAACTGTTCGTATTTTTTATTTTCTTCTCGAAGTTGGTCTCTAAGAATTGCTGCATCATCCTGAAACATCTTAAAAATATAACACGAATCTATTACAGTTAGAGAGTAACATCTCTCTGAAGAAAACCGAAGGGAACCATACACTTGAATTAGCAGTTTTGTCTTTCAAACTCAGCCGATCATTTCTAAAAAAAAATCGGACAAGCAGAAGAACACAGATATAAAATTGTAAATTTCTACCAAAGCAACGAGAAATCAAAAACATCAAAAACACATCAAAACTTTTTACATCAAAAACTTTGATACCAAAAGCAAAAAGACACCTGCAACTTTTTACATTCCGCAGAAACGGAAATCCATTCGACTTCTTTTTCCTCAAATTTTTGTTTGAAAATTTCGACTTCTTTCTCCAGTTGCATTTTTACGGATACCAGTTGATCTTTCATATCTTCTATTTCCGTTTTCTCTACGCTTTCCTCTTTTAGTAATTTTTGTAATTCGGCGCGATCATTCGTTAGCTAAAAAAAGTTTTGAGATGTAAAAAAGAAATTAAAGTTGCTTTTTACTGATCTAGAATAAGGTTTAGGAAAACTTACAAGAAAAAGAAATATGTCTGAACGTGATAAGGATAACAAACTAAAATTATATTCTCGGCAAGAGCAGCTAATCTATTATCTCTCTTTCCACATCCGAATAACAAAACCAAAAAAACCTAACCTGCTCAATCCGATTCGTATAATCCGACAAAGTATATTCCTTTTGCAATAACGTTTCTCGTAAAGAATTTAATTCCGATTCTTTGGCAGCTATGGCTTGTTCACTTGCAGTAACTTCCAAAAGAGGTTTGACCTTCAAACAATTCAACTTATCAACTAGACCTCTAGAAAGATGATAAATAAAAACTATGTTTATCAATTTAACACATTAATTTCACTCTAACGTCTACTAAGCAGAAGGTTAAGACTCCTCACTAAATTTCGTGTCAAATTTTACCATAATAAAGCAATCCAAAATGTAAGGAACCTTAGCAAACAACCTCCACCATTTCCAGTCTTTCAAACGTGACCACGCTAAACCATTCCTCTGGATTATCCGAATCGCAGAAATTTGCTGCAGAAGTTTCTTGAAAGCACGACGAGCAAGATATCCACGACAGTAAGTTTGAAACTGAGCTACGAAACGCTGCAATTCTTTATCACGCATTTCTTCTAAAGCAGCAATAACACCTGATCGGAAAAACACTTTTGATTGACCGATACGAAAGAGACTTGCATCCACTTCCAGCGCAACGAGGATTCGCCTAAAGAAAGTCATATAATTCATCAATAATACGATTTTCCGGTATTTCCCATTTGACTTTAGCTATAAACTTCTATGAAAAGTATAAAGAAAAAAGGACAAACAATAAGCACGTAATACTGTACCTAACAGTTTCCTTTCCGTCCAAGAAGCCAGCAGGAATGGTTCCTCGATTAACAAGCAATTCGTATCTTCGGCGAAAGTCATGGAAAGATGTTCTGTTTGGAAAGCCCTGTCGACAGATACGGATGCCTTCCAAAACACCGTTGCAACGAAGTTGCTCCAATACCAAAGGCCCGTTAATGACACCAGCCTGGAAAATGAAATTCCAATAGTGATTAAAAATGCATTTCTTTGAATAAAACTATGCAATAGTTTCCACACTGGTCTTAAAGCACTTTTTTAATCAGACAAGGACACGATCCAATCATTTTTCAACTGAATCAGAAAACTACCTTTTAAAAATACCTGAGTATATAAATTTGCATAGGGATTTTGAATGATCTATTACCTTTTTCTCATGATTTGGAATAATACATCGAACAAAATGAGGAGAAGTATTCTGCAGTGTTTTCATCAGTCGTGACAACTGCTCTTTGTATGTTTGTCCAACCGTGCGAAACATTCCTCGCTTGGTTCGTGCGCCAAATATATAATCAGTTTGATCAGCTATTCCCAGACTTGCAAATTCCGCTATAAAGTAATATTCAAAAATAGCAACGAAATATTGAATTTAAATCTAAATTTACTGTACGAACTTTAGGTTATCACAAATATGTTCGACGGAAGTAGTACAAAAACAACATCCATGTTCAAAGTTCATCAGTAGCAATTATTTTCAATGCTTTCTCGAACTCGGAATAATCAAAATGTAACTTGTTTGAGAAACCAAGAAACGACAAACCATTCTTCCACATCTCTGCCACAAGTTGATCTCCTGAATTTTGAAGTAAAAACACAACTGAATCATTCAGTGGATCCATATTTTTCATTAACCATTGATCTGCAAAGTATAAATTCTAAATTTATAAAACTGACTGATTTATTCCAAGAAGTCTGTGATACTGGAAGAGAAATTCATTTGGCTTAAATTTCAAGCTATTGCAAGCTACAACTATCCTCACAAAAATTACCTGCAGAATAATCCACGCGGCCTGCATAATGGACAATAGCGAAATCGGATTTCGTTCTGAATTCAGGCACAATAAATTTCGGATGTTTAGACTGATTGGCAGTCAGCTTTTCCACGTATGATTTATCAGTTGACTTCGGAAATATACACTGCTCATCCAGTAATGATAAAACACCTAATGGCTGCAGAGAAATAAGTAAATTATTACATTATTGTTCCAAAATGTGTAACAGTACAAAACATATTTTGGCTCGAAAATTTTCACCTTTTAAGTAATGTTTCCTTTCAGAAAAATTTTAGAGCGCTGGGAAGCTTTTTTACACCAACAGAAATGATCACTAGTAATTTTATGTTTATTGCAACATACGAAGTATATCTCTACTAGGACTTAGCATAGCAATATCAATTTTTATAAAAATTTTTAGATTACTCATAAAGAGACAAATAAATCCGACACCTAACAAGATTTTTGCCACATTTCAAATTTTCTTATAAATGGAGCAATATTTCAGAATACATCAAAAAAACTTGCTTTTTCGATAAGATCTATAGTTGGCTGTAAATCGAGACCAAAATCAATAAAATTCCATTCGATCCCTTCCTTTCGATACATTTCTTGTTCCAAAATGAACATTGTATTATTAAATAATTGTTGCAATTTTTCATTCGTATAATTGATGCATAGTTGCTCGAAAGTGTTTAATTGGAATATTTCAAATCTAAAATTAACTTATAAGCACATATACATGTACAAGAAAACAAAATTTAAATATAAGTACAATTCTGAATGATCTCTTACTCTTTCTGACTCACGAATTAAGCGTCTAATAATTTCTTAAATTGCAGTAAAATGAGATTCGTACATTTTATAGAACCTGAAAATCCAGCACTCAAATAGTAACGATCAACAGATATAATTTACAAGCCTAATTCGAATGACCCAAGAAGAAGGACCAAGCCCTTCTTCCATAACCAATAATATTCCTGCTAATCAAACTATTTTTTTTTCTGATGAAAACTTGGTGCTTTCTTAAAATTTACCCAGCAATATCAAGTATTCCAATGAATGCTGTCCCACTGTTTGCCGAGCGCCCCAAAGAACGATTGATTCGCATCACTAGCCATCGGAACAATCGTTCATAGCTTGCTTTTGCAATGGCTTCAACCGCATACTGAACCTGCTCACGAGTTTGTGCTTTATGTACATAATCACGACCAACCTGAAATTTGAGTTACCAAAATCGTAAGTTCATATGTATACATATAACTTGTTCGGTATATATACCTACATGCAACGCATATATGTGGATATGTACAACAAGCAGTGATCCAAAAAACCGCACTGACCTTTACCCTCGGTTTCAAAAATGCTTTTGCTAAATCCGATACTGGTAATCCAAGTAAACAACATATTTTTTGAGCAACTGAAACCAGTGATTTTTTTATTAAGGTGAAATTAATTTAAGAAATAAAAAAAAAGAAAATCTAACCACCAAACTTGTGGTAGAATTGACACCAAAATTCTAAAGTACTGGTCATCGACTATACAAAAACGATCAAAGCATTATGTGCATTAAAAGTGAGGGAATGAAACCTCTATCGTCGACGAGTATTGCCTGATCAGAAATACGGTCTTCGGTAAATGACATGTTTCCCAATAGTAAAATTGCGGATGTTACTCGCATGACTGCTAAAATAATAATTCAGTTATTACTTATTCTATCAAATAAGTAAGTACTATTATCAAATTTATAAGTCTAACTTCTTCTGCTTGTGCCAAATATCTCATTCGCCATCCAGAGGAGAAAACATTTCAAAATCTTGAGTAGCTCACATAGTGAACGGAACAGTTAAGAATTTTCATCATAAACCCGAAAAATAGATATTTACCATATGCCTCATTTCAAACTAAACTATTTGGCTTACCATCAATTTCTGTGTCCGAAAAATCCATTCCTCTCATTGCATTCAAAGTGCTTGACAATTCGGAAGCGTCATCAACATCTGGGATAATGAGATTTCCATTAGTAAGAAAACGATAATTGTCGATATCATCCATCAAAAACATACCTGTGAGATAATCATTTTATTTTGCAATAATAATGACAATTTCTCCATGATCAGCTGCCTTTCTATTGTTTTGTTTATCTTCAATGTTTCAAAAAGCTAGCATCAAAGTCTTAAGTAGTTTACAGCACAATAAAATATAGTATGAAACTGAATAGTAATCGAGAACGCTTAAGGGTTTTTACTGCAGTCACAAAAAACAAATATTCTATGCTCTCTTTCGAACTGGATCATTTGACTTAAAAATTTTTCCGACTACACAGAACATTCAGACCTAAACGCTCATGTTCCAATCTTCAGGAAATACTGTACTTTTCGTGCTAACAGATGAACCGAGCAATAACTGATAAAAAAAGTGGAACGATCGTTCATCTGCCGCCTGGCGGATAGTACGCGACTTTTCCAGCAAATAATGCTCAATATTTGCACCCGATATACAACCACATTGGTCGAAATTTATCCTGATAAATTTACCCTATAATAAATCTTCATCAACCTATAATTAGTCGAGGTTATGACTTTCAGCAAACGAAGCAAAAGAAAATCCCTAAATCACCCGATTATTTTATTATTAGAAAAGAAGGTTCCTGTAGATAGAAAAACTTACAATCCAAAGTCTTCAAGCTACAGCTCTAGAATAAAGAACGATTTGTCATTACTTTTTAAGTTAAGAATAAACAACAAGCCAGAAAAAGAGTTCTGTTAAGACGGTAAAACAGAATAATGGTGCATGGAATGAAAATCCCTGAAGACAAGAGCTCTTTTAATAAAATGATCATCATGTTGTCAGAAATCAACTAGAACCACAAACAGTAAAGAGAAATACAACTTACAAATCTTGAAGAATTGTCGTTTTTAACTGTTTTACTGTTACCAAAAGCTTCGAGGATCGGATTCGCTAGTAGCAACTGATCTTCCAAGTGGCCCTATACCAAATTTTTAGTCAAAGAAGTAAGATTTTCCTCAAAATTCTCGAATTGTTCTTCTTATACTCAAAAGTTATTAACTAACAAAAGAACGTCTGTTCTCAAAACCAAAAGTATTAAAAAAAAACTTACAACAGGTGATATATTTTCCGGAAGAGGTGACAATGATAATGATGTCGGTAGTGCACCCTGAATCGGGAAAAAAATTAAATATGTTCAAATAATTTCAAATAAAAACATTAATATCTTGAAAGCATTAAGATCTTGAAATCTCATTGTTTGAATCATGGTCTAAATTAAAGCTAAATCCTTCCTCCCAAAACCAGGTATTTTACACATGCACTTATTTTAGGAAACCACTACAGATAAGCAAAAGCACAGTCAATTTTTAATAAAATAAGTCCATGAGAAACATAACCTTTCCCGGACTCCTGACAACTGATGAACGCATATGTCGTCCAGTACCTGCAATATCTGCTAAATATTGAACTACTTTCTTTGTATTTTCCGTTTTTCCAGCACCTGATTCTCCTGTACAAAGGATGGACTGATCTTCTCGTTCTGAAATTTCAGAACATTTTTATTCATCTTCCCAGCATTACATTTTTTTTAATGCAAATCGACCCTCTTTAACTTTCACCACTATACAAATTCACAAAAACGAACGATGCAACATTTCGTGATAAGCACAATCAGTCACAGCGAATACATGAGGAGGTACTTCGTGCCGTTTTCGTCCACGATAATTTTTCATCACTGTTGCTGAATAGATATGAGGCATCCATTTGTACGGATTGACGACGACACAAAATAGGCCGGAATACGTCTGTAAACAGAAACTCTACAAATAATGTATTATATTGGAATTTTTGACCCTTAATCTTATCAGTTGACACATCAGCAACCTTAGTCTTATCAGTTAGCTCTTAACTAATTGCTACTAACACATTCAATTGTCTACACAAATAATCATAAAAAAGCCAAAAATTACGTATATAAGAGATGAATAGTATCGCTGCCGGAGATTGTGTAATACACATGCTTCGTTTAAATATGAAAGCGATGACATATCTTCTATCTTGTCTAATTTGGCTGGATTTACAGATTGCAATTCTTCGCGGCATACGGTTTTTTCGTGACCCGTACCTTCAATCCTCAATAACACACGATCATCTGCTATATTCTGCAAAATGATGAGAACTCATATTAACCGCCCAAAATACGCTGTTAACTTTCATGATGTCTTCATTCCTTAAAATACAAACCCCATAGTCAACCCTTATCCTGCATGAAGCTAAAATCGATTACAGCCGAAATATGACGGTTAAACTTTATTAGAAGCATCGATCTTTTCTTTCCTTGAGTCATAAGTGACACCTAAGTAGGAATTTTCCTAACTTTCTGACAAAGTCCCGCACTGTTTCATGTTTACGACTTCCTTACATGTGATTTATCCATACATACTGAACCAAATGTCTTCTATGGAAATCTCATTTATTCAAGAAAATCATAAGATTACAGCACACAAATTGAGTGTTTACCGAAATAAGTCGCATTAATTTAACAACATCAAGTGTTACCTCACGCATTTCTATTTAGGGAAGTGATGCTCATGAAAAATACAAAGAAAAATGGGGAATAAATTGTTTGACAAAAGTTCTGTCTTAAAACTTACCTGAATCACGACACCTAACACAAACCCCTCGGTAGCATCTGGTACCCAAACATGCTCATCCTGTTTTGGATTGCTTGCATTCACACTTCCCAGTTTTTTCATCCTAATGTTGAAATTAGAATCCAGGAACCAATTTCGATAAAATGATGAACTATAATGTCTTTTGACAACATAAGTAATATATTAACACAGCGGTGAATTTAACGGAAAAACGTATATACGCTGTAGTAATCATAAATGTAATACTAAAGAATACTGAAGAGGTTCCTAATTTAATCACTTGTTAGCGATATTAGACAAAATAAAATCACTTGTTAGACAAAATTAACGAAGATTGACTGCGTAAAGGTCTTTCGATGCAGACTGAAATCGATAAGTGTAAACAACAAAATTTGTTATTTGGAAAATTTCCATATATTTCAATGAAGATATAACGTCATAATCTATTAGAATAACCTCATCCTCCATACACTTAACGCTTATTCTAAGGAAGCGCTGCTTTTATATGCTACTTCCACATCTAAAATTTCCGTAGTTTGCAAATTTTCAACCGAAAAATCTCAGTAGCTTATGAATTAGAAAATAAAACTTCCATCAAAATTTAATTAGTTTAAATCTCAATTGCGTGAAATATTAAATTTTTTTATACTATTAAGGACTAATAAAATATAATACAACTCCGCTTATTCTTATCCTATTACTTCAGTAGATCCGGAAAATAAAGTCGACCGGAAACCTTTCCACGTAAAAGACATGGAGATAACTAAACCCCGTACTGACAAAAAAAAGGAGCGTTCAAATTCAACAGATTATTTGAAAAAGGCGCGCTGAGTCGATATGAAATTCCAATTCCAGAACTCACTCATTTTACATTCTCTCTCATAAAAATTTTAAGCTTATTGCAGAAATATATTTTAGATCACTACGTTTCTTTTACGTCTTTTTTCCTTGTTTATATATTTTTTCACGTTTCATTATACAGTAGAAATATTACACGAAAAGCTTTTTTGAAAAATATTTTTTAAAGTAATAATTCCTAAGTATTCTACATAATTCATTAGTGAAATATGTTTGCAAAAATATTCCATTTTCATAGTAATTTCTTTTTTCCTTGCAATTTCTTGTTTTTTTTCTGCAAATTTTTAGCTATTTTCTTTCTTTTTTTTTACTGTAAACATAATTAATTCAACTAACTTAATTCAAATATGATTAAGTGTAATAATAATAATAATTAATTCAATCAAAATAAAATTAATCTAATTAGAAAAAAGCATCATTTTTTGCTCTTACAATAAACATGCATACGTATTTTATCTATAATCTTAAAAATTATTTTCACGCTGATATCATCATTCACAATATTTAATGGGAATGTTATGATATATAATGTCATATTAAATCTGTTAAATAATTAGGTTAAATTAATTTGTAACAAAAGGAATTGAAATCTTTTAGCAAAATATATAACTCTTTCAGATTTATTATAATATGTCACAAATTGGTATTATTGAGAGTTGAAATAGCCATTAGAAATGAATTCTATAAATAAAGCAGTTGACAAATTGCGCATATACGATAATCCTGTAAATAAAACAGTTGGTAAATTGCGCATATACGATAATCCTGTAAATAAAGCAGTTGGTAAATTGCGCACATTCCTATATGTTTAATGTGCTAATAGTAAAATGATGTAGAATTATGGCTATAAAGCAAATTAAACAACGTAAATAAGCAAAACAAAGTTTAGACTATGGAATAGTTTTGAAAGATGGAACGTAGCATCAGGATTTACTAATATTTACAGTTAATATTTGTAATTGTTTTTATGGATTAGTAGTGATCATTGTTATGAATGAATTAATGCGATCAATTTACTGATTAAAAAATCAATGAAACGATCGAAGAGGATTTTAATGGAACGATATGATTGGTATCATAATAATAGGATGAAGAATTTGATCAAATCAATTTGCAAGAAATTCCAGGTACAAAATGAGTTCACAGATGTAAATATGGAATGAATCAATTTATGAATGGAATAAAAGGTAGATTTTCTTTAATTTCATATCCTATCTATTAGTAATGTTTGGATGTAGTAAAAGTTGATTTTTTTTTTTCGACGTATTTATTATACTGAAAAATTTTAACAATGAACATGGAACTTCGACAATATTAGATTCATAGGTAAACACAAGTTTTAAGTAGACATAGATTCACAGATAAACATAGAGAATCTAGATACTCACCATTATCACCTTATAAATAATTATGAGGTGGTATTGATTAATATCTATATTCCCTCTCTATTTCTCTCCATCTTTTCTTCTTTGTGTCACACTTTATGTTGATCATTTGCTAATTAGTGTATCGGAATTTACTGGAACAAGAAGCATTTTTATTTATCAGTGATTCACATTTGGTCCTGTCGAATTTCATATAACAATATCATATTTTACGTCACAATCCAATCAAATTCTCATCGAATCCTTCGAACTATTCACTGTATCATTGCAGATTATTACATGGGAAATTTTCGATAACATGACATAGCAAATTTACCTGAATAAAATTATCAATGAAACTGATAAATAGAAAAGTAGAAAAGTGATCAGTATCAAGCATTTAAGACGGAAATAATAATGCCGAAAAAAAAATTAATAATAGGAATAAATAATGTACTCTAGGAGGGAATGATTCATTACACTTACGATTTGTCTTACGTTAAATATATCATTAATGTAAACCTACTTCCTGATCTTTCACAGCAAAATTTCATTCTGCCAGAAATAAGCTCAGATTTACTATTTTATGATCTTTGCTCGCAAAAAATGGTACTAAACTTGTTGCCTTATTCATTTGAAATAAATTCCATCCTATATTCTGATTATCCTATTAGACAACACCACTCATAATAGATTTACATGTTGAGAAATCACTCTGAATGGCAGATTATTTAAACAAAAAAAAAAGGAAAGGAAATGAAAGCACTCTAAATTCGATTTAGCAAAACATCTATGATTTACAGAATGACGTGAACTGCTTTAAACATTAAAACAATGCAAGGGAGGAATAAGTGTTGAATGTACTTCAACAGAAATCAGGGAAATAGGAGGTAATAATCCTTCAGCCCTAAAAGACTACATCTATGATTCCTAACATTTTATCCTATATTCTTCAAAATCACAAAATCGCTGAACTATAAACATGATAATATTAAGTGTACTCATCGAAAAGTAAAAGTAAAAGACAATATTGAAGAAGCAGAAATGCTTACTAATTACATTTTTCTTTTTGTAGCTGTGTATCTATTTTGATACTCCTCATAACCAGGCAAATTTTGGAAATCTTTCTCCTGGAAAAGATTTCCCGCATATGCAATCAGACTAACATTGGAATTAATCAGAAAGTCACTTATGAAATCCGTTTTATTTAGACAATTTTCTTCCACTCTAAGTGTTCTCAAAGCCTCGCAATGCACCAGGTTTTCTGCATTCAGTGAATTCAATCTGTTTTGATTCAAATTAAGTTCCGAAGTTTTCAAAAATTTCACCTGAAATTAAAGAAAAGAATAAAAGGAAAAAACAAACGGTGAATCCTTTTTGGCATTTGATTTCCCTGCTACTTTTTATGGATGCGTTTTTTAATGAATGGGTTCTTTAGAGAACTACACCTCTAAGAATGTCCAAGACAAAGCCTTTCCAATATCCTCAGTTATATGTGGCAGTAAATTGAAGAGAAAGAAGAAAAATGTAGCGTTTCAAACTAAATCAGTATTCATTAAGCATTATTTATAAAATATGATATTGAAATTCAAGTTCTTCGAAGTCTAATTAAGTTTTTGAATTGTTTTGTTTGTTAACTTAGAGGAGTGAAATTTGTAACACTAGCAAACGAGAAATTGACCTGAAGTGAAATTAAAAAAATAGTAATTCAAAACTGACCTCATCGGGAAGAAATTCGATAAAATTGGACGATACATCAAGAATGTTGAGTGCCGATAAATGGCATACACAAACGGGTAAGTGTATGAACTTATTTTTTGATATATTTAGCGTTTTCAACGAGCACAAACCAGCCAATGATTCTGGAAGCCAACTAAGCTGATTGCATGAGAGATCCAAAATTTCCAACTTCTTCAAAACACCCATTTCATCCGGCAATGTTTCCAACTCATTATTGGAAAGATGAAGCTGTTTTAGATTATTGAATGAACCAATAAATGTTGGTAAGGTTCGGATTCTGTTCTGTGAAACATCCAAATTTCGAAGAATTTCGCAAACCTAAACGTAATTTTAAACTTGAAGACAGCTTATTTTAAAAGAATTCGGCGCAAAAAAAAGAAAAAAATCAGCTAACACTGGGAAAATAATGATAGCATGAAAGAATTATTACTAAAATTAAACACCGATTGGGAAAAAAAAACATTTTTCGCACCTATCCATCTAATTCCTTTTCTTCCTTTAATCTATATAAAACATATATTACCAATGAAACCTATCCTTTGCACTCATACGATGTGTCAATGGCAAATGTTAAATAATATCATAAAGAAATATGAAATAACGACCACTTCGCACGCCATTTCATAGCATAAGTTTTCCTCAGTAACTTGTATATGAGTCCACAAGTAAGTTGTATATGAGTCTATAAGTTGTATATGAATCTATCAGTAACTTGTATATGAGTCTATGAGTATACTACAAGTGCTAAAAAAAAAGCAGCAACATCGAACGAATATCTTCAACAAGTATTAGTATTAGCTACTAGCAATATCAGTAGTGATTGGAAATTACTAGGATATTAGCAGTAAATGATAGGATAAAATCGTATGAAGGAATGAAGAAAAAAAAAGACGTTTACTTCTTGCAATTGTTCAGGCAATATTTTCATGCCACAATTTCTTAGCTGTAAAACTCGACTTTTCTGCGCTGTTTCTAGATGACGCTGAATAACCGATGAAGATGGACCATGTTTGATCCCCAGACTTAACTTTTTCCTTCCCGGTGTTCCATGTGTTATTGTTGCTGTAGATGATAATTTCGATTTGGAAGAGTCGTTTCCCATCGTACATTTTACCAGTTGTAAAACATTGAATTTGATCTAAAATTTACATTTAATAACACAGTAGATATGTTCGACTTTTTTTTTTCTTTTCTGAAAATTGGTTGTCATAAAATTACTGTGACATAAATTATGTCAGTTGACAGTGGCATGAAATTAACATAAAACATTATGTTATCGAATCGTTGAAAATCAATTTTAAAAAACTCGAATGTTAATGAGACGCCAAGGTTACGAATTTCCCTGAATATGTACAATAAAAAAGCTTTTAAGTAGAGTAAGAACACAGTCACAATAAGATTATATGTTGTACCAAGTTTAGTTAGACAGCCAAAAGATGAGTCATCAACATTTGTTTCAATTTTACGCCAACGTTTTGATCACACAAACTAACGCCACACTGATATTTCAAACACTGCCCAAAGAATTAATAAATAACTGGTGAATGTGATGAGTGATGAGATGATAACCAATGAATATCATCATTATTAATCATCCATACGACGAAATCATCGAATTAAAGAAAATTTATTAGTGTCTTACATTTATAACAAAACAAAACAAGGTAACAAAAGTATGTCAACGTAAGGTGATATGGAAGCATTAAATAAGCGAAATAATACGAAACAACTAAGACACCGTTTATTAATTTACCTCCTACCATAGATGCAACCTATAATAAATAACAAAATAACGCAGTAAACGTGCATAGCCGCAATCTAATCATATTTTAAAGATGAAATATAAAAAGGAACAATCCCAGGTATATATAAGGAAAAAAGTATATCACGTCTTTTGAGCTTTAAGCAGAGGTTGTACAAACACTAACATCACGGCTGCAAATGTTTAATAGATCATTCGTACTTGAATGATCTGGAACGCTCTATGTACACGAACTATTGGATTTGACGCATAGACTTAAATTTAAGTTCGCATAAATCGCATATGGCAAATCTTGCTTCTGCTGCTCAACAAACCACCGGACATTATCTGTAACCTACTTAAGGTAAAGAAAATTATGCTTACTGTTGTCCCTGCTTATCATTTACGGATCAATAACACTGACAGCCTTTCATTAGAGGCTTTCAGGGATAAATACCAAGTAACAAAATCTTACTCCTATTTTTCAGAATCTGGTCTCACTTCTTAACACTGAGCGCAAATGTATTGTCAGAATCAAGAAATAATAAATCTTGACCAAATAAATTAACTGATTCGTCAAATTTGTACTATTTTTTCTTCCGTTGTTGCACAACATTTTGTACAACTGTCGTTGTATACCTCGTCTGACTGATTCCAGTTAATAAAAACAGCAAAAATGCAGAGAACAGCAGACAGACCTGAAAACACTTACACAGAAATAGCAAGAAACACAAAACTTAATATTACTACAGGGACTTGCATCAATTTTACTTCGCTACATTTAAAGTTTGATTGTCCCTCAATTTCCATGATAAAACCTTTCTCTATTCCAAAGGTGGTATCTTCTCGCAGCGAACAAAGATCATGAGTCAACATCTCAAGAAATACATTTACAGTGATTCCAGCTATTTCATTACTTCCTTGTTTGCCGATTCATCCGGATTTGTCGATTCATCCGGATGCTAGCGTTCTATTCCTTACTACCACACATAAATTTTGGGATTTTCTTTTACCTTAATACTAATGATATTTTTCTTGCGGATGGGTACTTCTTAATGCTTTGAAACCCAGTCCTCAAAACGAAATATTGAATAAAATAAGCATCTTCACCTAATTATTTCTAGTCAGTGCTAACCAATTTCAACTACTCCGTAATTTCCTATCTTCCTTGAACTATAGATTTGAAAATCTCTCTCCCTTCCTCATTAGCAATTTCCTTAGGATCTTGGATAAAACAAAGTGCTAAAAATTTTGTTCCAAGACTCTTTCAAGATAAACAAACTTGAGAAAAAACAAACTATTATACTAACCGTTATGGCAACTCGATGAATCGTAGCAGAAGCAATAACAGCAACCACCAGACATAAGAAGACCTCGGTAAGTCCAGCTTTTACTTGTTCACTGATTGAAGACATTTGAAAATTTGACAAAGCTGTGAGCAAAAAAACAAAAACTAAGGAACCCAAAGCACCCGCAATCAACGTTCCTGCTTTGGAAGCCGCTAAATCATTCTGAAAAGAAAAACAAGGGTAAGCTGAGTCGATGGCATAAAAACGAATTGAAATGGCAATAGGTCCACTGAAAAGCCTAGAAGAAGAATTCCCGTCAAATCTTGTTGGTGGCAAGAATTCCACAAAACGCAGGCTTCAATGAAAAGAGACCATGAACGCTACAGAACTTACCACTTCGTAATAATCACAAAGTATTTTGCTACAACTTCTCTTAGGAGCGCCCTAAGCTAAGAAAAACAATCCTTAACACTATCTATAAACAAGACAAAAGTTAGAGTGAAAGTACTTACTTTCATAATTTGGCCAATCGCAATTATAATAATGGCAATAAGAAATGCGACCAGAGCACTAGTCGAATGATTTGCCATTTAACCTGAAAATATCCGTGCATGAAAATCGATATTTTCATAGTAATTTCAAGTAAACACATACAAACAATTCTTTGCAATAATTTTCATAACTTTTTATATCCATTTCATATCTGTCAAACACTTAAAAATATTTAGTAAATCCCCTTATGACATCATGAAAGAAACTAATGAAATATGTCAAAAATTTAAAAATATGAGGGCGTAAGAAAAGATAGTATTTAAAACAGGCAAAGAAGTAAAAAGTAAATAATAATAACAACAACGGCAATATAAAAACTTTCTCCTATTATGGTTTCATTAATTTGCTCCATTTTACGACAGTTTTACTGCTAAAAATCTCTCTCCTTATCAAATCCATCTCTCCCTCTTCCTTGCCTCATCTCTAACTTTAGTTACAATGGTTTAATACTTCCGCTAAATCTTTTCAATCTCTAACAATATGTTCTCTCAAAAATACCATCAATCTCTACATCCTCATCAGCAACCTTTACCGCTTACTAACCCCAGTGTCACATGTTTTATCCGCAATATTACTCTTTCATTCGCACCACGTCATTGTTTCCTTCAGTTATCAAATCGCGATGGATAACTATGACATACCGACAGATTTAAAATCAATGAAAATTTGTATCCCACCGTCAATGTTGGACATCAGTTCACGTTTCGGGTCACTGCATTAGTTTTTTTTTTCTTTTTTTTTTTGTATGTTAGGTTTACTATTATATCATTATTATTCACATATCATCCATTAATGTATAATTTATTTATTTATTAGCTAATTTTCATTTATTTCATTTCAATTACATTTACTTAGCAATTGATTTTTTTACATTCCGGGTAATTGCCTAGTTTTTCTTTTTTACATATCAGATATCATTATGTCATTATAATTTACATATCATTTGTTAATATATAAGACCGTTTCATTTTAATTACACTTATTAATCAATTTATTAAAATTAATACATCAAAATTCACATGAAATATGTCAAGCCTTTTGAGGTTACACGTGAAATAATCTTACATTCGTTTGTAGAATCAATCAATACACTCATTATTGGTTAAAATTTTTATGTAATATATCTAAACATAAATAGTATACATAAACTTTGTACGTATTAACTTCCCATACATACGTAGACATCATTAGTTATCGATACCTTTGTTGTCTCCATTATCATTGTTAAATTAATAGTCTCTTCTTACACATTTCATTTTTATCATTATTATTATTATCTTCCCTCATCACTATCTGATTGTCAATGTCATTATTATCATTGCTACTACTGTCGTTTCTATTGTCGTTGTTTGTATTGTTGTTGTTGTTCGTGTTGTTGCTCTTGTTTGTGTTGTTGTTGTCTTTATTCTTTTTGTTGTTATTGAGTTATTATCACTATCATTGTTATTATTATTATAATCATCGACCATCATTTATCACTATTATTATCTTCTGTATATGATTGTCACTATCTTATAATCATCATTATTATCATTGTTACTGTTAGCGTTTCTTATTGTCGTTATTGTTTTTGTTATTGTTACTGTTTTACTGTTGTTATTCTCCGTGTTGTTGTAGTTGGTATTATTGTTATTATTGTTGCTATTGTTGTAATTATCACCACCATCATCGTCATTATTATTGTTATTATAGTTATCGACCATCATTATTGTTATTGTTTGTATCTTCATTGCAATTATCATCATCATTTGCAATAATGTTTAACAAAATTTTTAGGAAAAAAAAATTGCAATTTAAGGGCGAAATTGTCCAACGAAATCGTTTTTGCGGAACTCTCTACTCTTTCATTAAACCGACAGATACATACAATTGATAAATCCTTCACATTAATCGGCAGTATGCACTTCACTTTAAGTATTTCAATCATTCGCTAGGGAATGTAATGGATATGAAGAAGTGGTGTACACACCCACGCACACACACACACACTCCCACACACTCACACACACACTCCCACACACACACACCTACACACACACTCCCGCACACACCCACACAGATATATAAATAGCATGTAAGAACACTTTTTTTTTTCAATTTTGTCAAAGTTTTTCCATGAAATATCCACGAAAATATCTTTGAGGTATGAATAAATCAATGCGATTCAGCTAATTCGATATGCAAATTACATTGAATTAAAATTTCATTATAAGTAGAGATTTTCGAAATTTCTCCTGTTCTAATATAAATAATCGTTCAAAAAAAAAGGAAATAAAAGTATGAATGATTCAGATATAAATAAAAGAAAATATGAATAATTCAGATATTTAAAGTCATACAATATTAGATGAAGCTAGTTGAGAAGGTAATACCATTATCATAATTCAATCTAATATGATAAAGACTAGAAGGATTAATTAGCATCATGATAAGTTACTGTAAGCAATGAATAAAAAGTATGTTTCATAATACTGAAAATGGAAATAAAATGATTGGTATATGGTACTTTGATAACCTAATAAATGCTGTGAAAATTATATTCATTTATCATATGGCATATATCGATGTGAAGATTGACAATAATAGATTGCAATATAGATAAGTTATAATTAAACAGATATAATATCTTATTTTATAATTTGTAGATTACTGTAATAGCTTATACTAAAATAATTTTATTTTCTTTTGATATGCTGAAATTTTTGTTTTTTTTTTTTTGCATGCTTGATGGTGGCTAAGAATTTATGTTTTTTCTTCCTTTATCAAGTACTTAAGTACTCAATTATTTCATTGCTAGCTATAGATTAATGTATTTAAATAATTGGACATTAATCGGTTCCATTTGAAATATAATTGTTGTCCAATAATAGCTCAGTTTAATTGCTTGAAATTGTTAACAATTTATGTTATCACTTTATCATTCCAAGGATATTTTACTATTTAAAAGTCGCATGAGTTAATTATGATTTTATCATCATTAAATTGAAATCAAATTGCATTTTTCCATCAATTGGCTGAATTAAAGTTTACACAATTGCACCAAATCTTTAATTAAGTGGGATTTTTTCAACTAGTTTTAAATTTCAAAAAGCAACCATTCAGTTTTAACTCATTTACTTATAAAAAACAGATAAGCAGATATGATAATTATTTTATTCCTGCAAGAGTATTTTATTATTATTTAAAAGTTATATGAGAATATAAAATTAAATGTATCGGTTTGGTTTTTTTCTTTTTTTTTCTTTTCAACAATTCTCATCTCTGATAAGAACTAATGATAATAACATTATTATCATATAATATTTACCACTATTATATATCAATATAAACACATATATGTATCATGTAATTATAATAATGGTAATGATAATTACCTATCAATGATAAGTTATAATAATTAGAGAAAATTGTATCGGAAATTTTCTCAAAAATACGATAATTTATGGAAGGAAATTTTCCAGATAAAACGAATAGGCCATAATACCCAACGGGATTTGTGATGCAGATAAATCACCCCAAGATGAACAATAATAGTTTTGATCGTTTTAAACGGTTTCTTCGTCCAAAGGGAGGAAAAGATGAAGTGAATCTATCAATTATAATATGTGGAAACAAATAATACATCTATCGTTTAGCACAAACTTAAACAAACATTTCCCGCGGGAAAGCCAAAGAAGTTGATTATTTCATAATAAGAATGGATAAAAGAAAAGCCTTAAAGAATGTCATTTCATTGGTTGAAGATTGACTTTATATCTATTGGATAAGTATACATTTAACGAGTAAACTTACAAAGAGAAGAATTGAATAAAATTTTGAAATGTATAAAATAAAAAAAAAAAACAAAAGAATGGATTTATGTTTTGAAATATATGTGGTAAAAAAATTTAAAAAAAAAAATTGAGGAAAAAAAGGTAAGAGAAAGAAAGAGAAAATAAAAGAAAACTTTTTTGAAAAAAAAGTTTATAATAAATGTGGAAAAAATAAATGAAATGAAAAGAAAACATGGCAAAAAAAAAAATTGAAATGGAAAAAAAGAAAGAGAGAGAAAAGAAAAAGACTAAATTTAAAAAGTATAAAAATTTTTTGATTTGGGAATTGAATAATTAAAACTTTATGACAATTCAAAATGCATATATTTAAAATAACAAACAACTTTTGCCTTTCGGAATGTTTACCGTAATCATTTTGAATTTTGAATAATTCAAATTTTAAAAAAAAGGGAGAAAGAAAAACAACATTTACCAAAAAAAAGGATCCAAAATAAATTAAAATTTTTTTTATTTTGGAAAAAAAGTAATGAAAACAATTTTTATTTATGATAATTTATTACTAATATTTGTGAAAAAAGGATTACATTGTTTTGTAAAATTCATTGCGATTGTTAGGTATTTATTCGCGAATAATTTCAAGGAAATAAAATAATAACCTATCAAAAGTAAATTAGGATGTCAACTTTACTTATTGTTTCGATAATAGCCTATCAAAAGTAATTTAGGATGTCAACTTTATTTACTGTTTCGATAATAACCAATCAAAAGTAATTCAGGATGTCAACTTTACTTATTGTTGGAACCCGAAAAGGGTTTTGAATTTCA